CTTTCTCTTTCTCTTTCTCTTTCTCTTTCTCTTTCTCTTTCTCTTTCTCTTTCTCTTTCTCTTTCTCTTTCTCTTTCTCCATCAACTCCTTTAATCTAGTCTCAATTCTTTCCGCACTTTCCTTTGTTTTCTCTAACATTTTGTTATTTAACGAAACAACTTCTGCTTCTTTGCGGTCAAAATTTGATTTCGCGGTGGCTAATTCACTTTCTAAACTACTAATTTTGGCTTTTAATCCGCTGATAACTTCTTCCAAACTTTTTGGTTTAGTTACTCCTTTTAGGGCAGGTTTAGAACCATCTGGGCGGAGGAAGCCACTAGAGGAGTATAATTTTACCCCTTCTTTTATGGCTTCTTCGGTTAAACCGTGAACAGGTTTGGAAAGAACCTGTTTTTTTTCTTTTAAACGGGCAATTTCCTCCTGTAATTCTTTGTTTTGCTTCTCCAAGTTTTCCACCCTTTTCCAGGTTTCATTCAGATTTAGATTTAGATCGACAATTTTTCCTTCTAGACCAGAGATAGCAGATTTTAAAGCATCTTTTTCATTTTCTAAGCCAATTTTTTCGGTTCGTAAACCAGTAATCTCTTCTCGGATTTGATTATTTTCCCGCTCTGCTGCTTCTAAATTAGCCTTGGTTTTATTATGAGCAGTCTCTTTATCTTTTAAATCCTTAGCCACTTTGCTAGCAATTTTATTAGGAAAAGTATCTTCTCACTGCTTTAATTTTTCCTGAATGGCAGCCAACTCGGCAATCCGTTGGGTTAATTCCTGGATTTTATTATTATGGTCCTCATGAGTTTTCTTGGCTAACTTCTCTCGTTCCAATTCCTCTTTCTCTAACGAATGAGCGAAATCTGTTGCTTGCTTTTCTAACTCTCTTATTTTTATTTCTTTGCCTTCTAATTGGTTCTTTAAACCCTTAATCTCAACTTCCTTTTCATTAAATCCGTCCTTTCACCAAGCTATTTTCTCCAAAATCTCATGACGGAGTTCTCTTAAAGCAACTTTATCTTTCTTTTTATCCTTAGAGGAAAAAATAACCCCCGCTTTTTCTCAAAATTTTTTTAAAAGAGATTTATCACCATTGTTTAATTGCTCAATGATTTCTTCTAAACTCTCCCTTAATTCTTGGTTTTCGCTTTCCAATTCGTCCAACGAGCTTTTATCAACTGTGTCTTTGGTTATCCTATCCAAGGTTGCAGTTAATCGTTTCACCTCATTTTTATCAGCCTCCTTGGCCATTTTGGCTTCTTCTGCTTTATTTTCTAACTCTGCTATTCGTGCGTCCAAACCTGCCCATAAATTAACCCGATTAACTAAATCTTGAACGCTGGCAATTCCTTCCACTTTTTCCATTTTCAACATTCCTCCTAAATCTGTTAAGTTTTTACCTGGTCCTAATAATTTTTCCGCAACTTTTATTTTCTCTTCTAAATCCCTATTACGTTCGGTTAATTTTTTTAGGTCAGCTTGCAAGCCTTTTATCATTTTCTCCCCCTGCTCTATTTTTTTGTCTAGACTGTAAACCTTCATGCTTTCAGTTCGGACCTCCGCAAACTCTCCGGCATTTACTCGGTAGTAGTTATCGCTTGTTAAGGCACTTAACAGAGTATTAATTAAATTAACTGCTTTACTTACTGTGGTTGCTGGGTCGCCTACTCTCTGGGCATGGTCGCGAATCTCCGTTTTTAATAAATTAATTTCTTCTTGGAGTTCTTTGTTTTTTTTTCATAAATCCTGCAGACCATTTAATTTGGTTTCTAAATCCTCTGGACTGTAATAAACTCTACCATACTGGTCATGAGGTGCTTCGCCGGTAATTATTAAACTCAGTCTCAGTTTCTTTATCAGCATTTCCGCCAAGTCCACATAATTATTAAAATTAGTCCAACAACTTGAATCAAATTTAAGTTCAATTAGGGTCGGTATATCTATGCCTAATTTATTTTCTACCGCCGTGATTTGGCTTTTTAAGCGATTGATTTCTTCATCTTTCAACTTTAATTGATTCTCTTTATCAACTTTTTCGGACTCACTTTCCTCAACAATAGGGGTCATGGTTAAAGAAGCGGTGGAACGCTTTTTTTTAACCGTGTCTGTCTTGCTAAGTGAATCCTCATAAACTTCTGGTTCGGTCGTTATACTTCCCGTAGTCAGCGGAGTTGAAGTGGGAGTAGAATAAAATCTGTCCCAAAGGATTCCAGTGGAGTAAGTGGGGGTTTCACCTTCTGGCTCAGCGGCAACCGCTTTGCTACTAGTCGCAACACTGCTGACTGAGTAAGAACGCTTAAAATCTCGCGGCTTATCCAGCGGAGTAGACGGAACGCCATGTTTGGGTGGGAAATAACCCTCTAATTCTTTGTCTAGGGGAGTTTTGTCCCGGGTCGCTTTAAACACTTCATATTCATTGCTAAACGTGCGACGAAATTCACGGTGAAACGAAGAAGAAGAAGAAGAAGAAGAAGAAGAATTAAGCCGGCGTAAAAAAATTGAGCTTTTTAATAACTCCTCGTTTTCCGCTTCTAACTTAGTTACTTGTTCGGATAGACTCTCCTTGATATCATTTAATTTTGCGTTTTCGGCTAATAGAGTTTCATTTTTTTGCCGGTAGCAGTCGGCTTTGAATTGGAATTTCCGAACTTCACTTATTCAAAACTTAATCTTTTCGTTTTTTTCGGCTAATTCGTCTTCTAAATCGTCATGTTTTTTTAAATATCGCTTGGTTCAAGCCGAATCCGAACTTGCCGTAGAAACTATCCCTGAATCCTCTGCCTTTGGTGGCTGCGGAGCGACTCGGCGTGGCGGAAACTTATCTGGGTCAGTGGTTAATCTAATTATCTCCTTTTTCTTTTCCTCTAATTCATTCCTCAAATCAGTAATTTTACCTTCCAAACGAGTAATGGTATCCTCTTCTTCTTTCGCAGCGGAAAGTGCCTCCTCTTTTTTTAGTTTTCAGCGATCATATTTAGCCCGCAACACTCCCACATTATTCCTCACTCCGAGTATGTCGTTGGCTAAATTTTTCCAATAATTAGTCAAACAACCCCGCTCTTGAAAATCGGCAATTTTCCTTTGGCATTCCTCTAATTCTCTCGCTTGTAAATCCAAGTCACTGGCTTCTAACTCTTTTTCCTCTGCCTCCCAATTAATTAACTGGTCATTGATTTTTCCCAACTTTTCAGCCAAGCAACTAATTTGCTCGATTTCGGAAATCAAATCAAAATATCATTTTTTTTGTTCGTCAATCGTTTCTTTATCTTGGGCCTGGCTAATTTTGTCAGGAGTTATCCTATTTTCTCCTAAGAACCTTAAAAAATCTTCTTTTTCTAAGCCCTGTTCAGCAATCTTCTCAAAAACTTCTTCTTCGGCAACCAGCCGGTCGTAATTAATTCTTAACTGCCCTGGCTGATGAAAACTTTTTTCTCATAAATTTTCAAGAAGATCAATATTAGATTTATAAGAGGAACTACCTCATAAATTAAAAATATCTTTCGCAAAATCAGCAGCGGTTTGTAAAGTTTCTTGAACCTCAGTAAACCAACCTACTTGGGGGTGGGGGTTGGCTTTTAATCCCTCTTCCGCTAACCAATTATCTAATTCCCTATTAATGGTAATGATAACAGAAGCACGATGCACATTCGAAGTGCTGACATGAATTTCTTCGTGTAGCAAGTTCGCATAATCAAAAAGGTCCACGTCGTTTCCGTCTATTTTAAGCGGTCGGGTGGGTTGACCATCGTAGGGTAATCCTCATTTTTTTTCTCGGGCTTTTTTAGCGACTCCCCATTTTCTAGCACATCGCCCCGCGAAGTCTCGTTCTCGGAAGAATAATCGTTCTAGATCTTTCGTATGCTTTAATTCTTCATATCACTGATCTAAATCGCTGCTTTTCTCTTTTTCCTCTTTTCATTTGTCTAATACTTGCCGCTGAACCTGCCGGAAAATCTCTTCTTTGGTTCAATCGTAAAATCGATGTAATTTTTTTCAGTCTAGTTCACCCTCCAAAGTTGCTGGATAAGCAAAATTTTCCCCAGTTGATGAAGTGCCAGATATTACCGGTAGGTCAATATTTCACTTTTCTTTAACATAATCTAATTCGCGAGTCAAAAGAAATTTTATTTCTTCTTTTTCGGCTACCATTTTCTCGCTTTTTTTCTGGTCAAAAGGAGTGACAAATTCGGCGAAAAGGTTCTGAAAATCATCGGGACTACCAGCATTGGCCAACTGCTGCGCAAAGTCCAC